ATCAATACGGTTTTAATTAACTTTAAGATATTTAGCCTATAACAGAAACTTTGCATAAAGTAGCCTGTATTCATGATTATATATATTTTTTGTATATACAAACATTATGATTTCACTGTCCATCATATTATCATATATTCTCTTTTCACAAAAACTGCATTTTTGTAAAGACGTGACAGATTCTTTATCAACCAATCACAGTCCATGATTTGCCGCATCATCCCTAGCAACGGGGTCAACCACACCTCCTCACTAAGATAAAAGTTTTTGTACTTTCCTTGCTCAGAGTTGCTCTGAGAAGTTTCCTAAATCACTTTTAGTCTAGGACTCCCAGCTAGGACTTTTTAGGCTAAGATAGGAGCTCTCTGAGAGAATTCTAAGATGCTTTGTGAATACGGGCCCTGGAGTGCCTGGAGTGTGATGAGGAAGCCAGTCGACTGCTAGGGTTACAACAGTTGATCCTAAGTTTTTCCTAGCTGATCACTGTAAGTCTTTCACATTTTGCATGTACCATGTGTCAAAAAGATGATCATTTTCAAATATTACTTTATTAATGAAATTCTCATTTATATTGTAAAATCATTTCTAATGTAACCTGTCTTTTCTTCACTCTCTCAGCAGATGCAATCCTCCTAGGCTTTGTTGGTGTACTCCTCCTAGGAGCGTCCATTCATGGTGCCTGCAGCAGCGGTATCTCGTGTCTGTGGCTCTTGTCAGAATTTCCTGGTTCTTTTGTTGCAGGTTCAAATAACATTGTGAATATCAGCATATCTTTTCATTTTTCCACTTAACACTTTATGTTCCAATGTACACTTCATCTCCACATCTAAACCGGTTTTGTCATTTTCAAGTACAGGATTTTCACTCTCATGAATCATTGAATCCTGATACAGCCATAGTGGTACCATCTCAAGGGCATGGTGAGGTTGTGTGTTAGCATGAGCAGACTTTGATGCTAAATGCTTTGCACTGCGTTGGTCTTTCAGACTGTTACTCTGATGGTACGAAAATTCCTTACTACAAAAACTACAGAGAGCGATCCTCTTACCACACAGTTCCATCAGGGCATTTTTTTTAAATGTTCATTCACAGAGCCATGCTTCACATCAACCTCCATCCAATGATGCCTGTGGACCACAGTGTATGGTTAATATCTTCGCCTCATCATGATTTTAATTATTCAGTTTACCCACCGTC